AGGTTTTACTTGCTGATAAAACCAGGTACGCATCATATTATATGAACATTAGTTCTGCGTACGTCGACCTTGCACTTGGCCAAAATTTTTTTTTTTTTTTTTTTATTAAGGTACACTGTGCGGGTTAATTTTTTGATTTTTATTTTTTTTCGAAAAATTTTTTCAAACGGCTAAATTAAAACTTTTCGGTAAGTTTGCTGTTATTATTATTATTATTATTATTAATATTATTATTATTATTATTATTATTATTATTATTTTTGGTTTTAAAGCAGACGACGACGACGCAAAAATTTATTATTTAATTTTTTTTTTTGTTCTGTGAATTATCATGACAGGATTAATTTAAATGGATAAAAAAACATCGTATTATTATTATTATTATTTTGTTGTTGGTACTTTATTTAACAGGTACATGAGGTACTCGTTATTTTTATTATCGTCTATTTGTTTTTTTTTTTTTTTTTTACGGTAACAAATTTTATTATGAAATAATAAAAAATAAATTTTACGCCTCTCGAGTTAGAAGATTTACAGAAGATTACAGAATTTAAGATTACAGAAGAGCTTAATAAAAATTTATGTAAGTTATTATTATTATTGTAGTTGTTGTTGTTGTTTATTTATTTAATGTTAGGAGAGTAAAAACGTTAATTAATTTTTTTTTAATAACATTTTTGGTGGATTAATAAAATATATATCGACTAAATACCTGGAACGATTTTGCAGTATAAAAATATTTGCGGTTTCATTATTATTATTTTTTTATAACAATTGCTGATAATAAAGTATTTTTTTTCTGTTTAGTTTTCGCAAAGAAATAAATTAAAAAAAAGATTTTTGGTGCCCCCCCTCGAATACCCTCAAAGTTTCGCCCTTTTTTTGCTTTCATTTCTCCCCTAAAAAAATAAATAAAAAAAAAATTGTGAGACTCGCGAAATTTATTTTTTTGTATGTTTCCTCCCACCCCCGTTTCAAATTTTAATAAAAAATTAATAGGCTCTATCGTCGGGACTCTGCGGGGCCCATCGCGGGGGACTCTTCGTAGTTTCGATTCGAAATAATAAATAATAATTTTTTTTTTTGGTTTGAATTCACGGTCAAAAATTACGATTGTGTAATTTTTATTACGATTTATTAAATATTTTTATTGCGTAATCGATCTGCGTGTATTAATAATAATAATAATAGTAAAGTTGGTAAGCGTGGTAAAAATGGCGGTGGTTTTTTTCTAAGATTTTATTAATAATTCATATTTTTTTTTTTTGTATTAGTTAAATTTGCTTCGGGAATCCGAAGACGAAAAAGATGGAAAAAAAGTTAACATCATCCGATGATGAAATCCGTAAATATTTCGGTTGGGAAGATTACACGGTGTTCGGGGGGATGCTGTTGGTATCTGCTGGAATCGGAGTTTATCACGGATTTTCATTTAAAAAAAAAAAAAATGACGTCGATTCGGTGGAAAACGGAAGTGCTAAGGAATTTCTAACGGCGAGCGGTAAAATGAGTACACTTCCAGTAGCTTTATCCATGCTCGCCAGGTAATTATCATCATCATTATTATTATCATTATTTATTTTAAAGTCGACGACGACAGAATTTTTCCATTTTTTTTTATCGTTTTCCCGCTACGTTTTTTTTTTTTTTAAACTATCTTTACCGTCAAATTTTTCTTTCACATTAAGTCACGGAATTTAATAATAATAATAATAATGATAATAATAATAATAATGGAGAAAACGTTACAATTACAGTTTTTTATCTTCCATCACCCTCATGGGTCAACCGGCGGAAGTTTATTTATATGGACCCGGACTTTGGTTAATCGGAATCGCATTTTTACCGATACTTCCGGTCCTTATATTTTTATGCGTACCTTTTTTCCGTAATTTAAATGTCACATCCGCTTACGAGGTAAAAATTTTTTAATTTTATTGCCATTTTCGTCAAAAAGAGGAGAGGAAAAAAAAATTTTTTTTTTTGTTAATTTCAGTATTTCGGACAAAGATTTGGAAGACCGTTTCAATGTTTCGCTTCCGTATCGTTCACTCTTCAAATATTATTATTTTTAGCTTTGGTTTTATACGCTCCAGCATTGGCTCTTCATCAAGGTATGACGTCATCGGATTTTAAATTAAATTTTTCCTACCTTTTAATTTTTTTTTTAATTTAAAAATTTTTTTTTAAAGTCACCGGAATAAATACGCTTCTCGTGGTTGTTATCATGTATTTCGTTTGTATATTTTACACAACAATCGTAAGTAAAAAAATAATTTTTTCTCTTTTTTTTAAATAATTTTTTTATAAATTTAAATTAAAATTTAAAATTTAAATTTTTAAGGGAGGAATGAAAGCCGTTGCTTGGACGGATACATTTCAAATAATTGTTCTTTACACTGCTGTTATTGCTGTCGTCATTAAAGGAACATTAGATCTTGGTGGTTTTGAAATTGTTTGGAAAAGAAATTTACAAAATTCAAGAGGGATTTTATTTGAGTGAGTTCAATTATTTATTAAAAAAAAAAAAAATTAATTATCACGTTTGATTCGGTTGTTTGTTTGTTTGTTTTAGTTTTAATATCGATCCAACGGAAAGATATACATTTTGGTCTTCGTTTGTCGGTGGTGCTTTCCTACATCTTTCGGTATTCGGTGCCAATCAAATGCAAATACAAAGATATTTAACCGTACCAACAATGAAATCCGTAAAAAAGTAAAAAAAAAATTTTTTTCTATATGTTTTTCCAGTTTTTCCGGAAAGTTAATCAAAGAAAATTTTTTTCTCGACAGTATGTTGTATATAAACGGAGTCGGATGGACGATCGTAACAATATTAACCGCATATTCTGGAATGCTTATTTATGCAAAATATTACGATTGCGATCCGATATCAAACAAAGATATAAAAACACCAGATCAACTATTTCCGTTTTACGTTATGGACGTTTTGGGTGAATATAAAGGATTTCCCGGATTATTTGTCGCTGGAATTTTTTCAGCCGGTTTAAGGTATAAATTAAATAATATTTATAAATTAATAAAATTGAAATTCACGTATTTTTTTGTTTTTCCAGTACCGTATCAACTGGAGTTAATTCACTTGCGGCAATTTGGTTTTCCGAACTCGAAGGTACAAAATTTAAAAAAAATCTCGATCCGAAAAAAGCCGGATTAGTTGTTAAAGGGATGGCATTATTTTTTGGTTTATCTTCGTTTGTTTTAGTTTTTCTCGTTCCTTACATGGGAAATTTGGTACCCGTGAGTAACTATTTGATATAATGATAAAACATTAATAAAAAAAATTTTTATAACTTTCTCTCTTTCTCTCTCCAGGTAACGATATCGCTCTCGAGTTTTTTTTCCGGTTCTTTTTTTGGAATTTTCGTGTTAGGAAATTTCGTACCTTTTGCAAATTCATGGGTGCGTACAAAACCGTTACAAAAACAAAAACCTTATTAAAAAAGTCATTGAAACGTTAACATTTGCTACTTTTCCAGGGAGCTTTTTCAGGTTTAACTTGCGGCATAGGTTTTGTCGGTTGGTTGGCAATCGGCACACAAATCTCACTCGAAAACGGTTACAAAATAAACGATGTTTTACCCACTTCCGTTGAAAATTGTTATTCTAACAATATAACATCATCAATATTTTCAGAGTGAGTTTCCTACTTTTCTTTTTCACAAGAAATAAAACTTTAATTTACAACGTTTTCCCTTTTTAGGAAAAATGATAGGGAACCTGCATTTGCACTCTACAGGTTATCATTTCTCTGGTATTCCCTTCTTGCACTCGTTATAACAGTAACAGTCGGAGTGATTGTTAGCGGTTTAACTAATTTAAGGTATCGATCCTTATTTAAAACAAACAGTTATCAAGAAGTAAGTAAAATAGAAAAGGTCGATGGTGGAAAACCGAAGAATTTAGGGATATACGTGGCTAAAGGGAGAGAATTGGATGTGAAATTATTAACTTTAAAATAATGATAATATCATTCATTTCCTATTATATCTGTGATATACATTATTTTTTTTTTTATGTACATAAGTTGCATATACATAAAAATTTTTTACTAACGCAATTTTTTTTTTTTTTCGAATAGGGGATTCATGCTTTGTATACACATGTAAAATTTTTAAAATTTAATAACGAGCCTAAAAGAAAAAAAGGATAAAAGTTGATGATGATGATAATAATAATAATAATTAAATTACACTAATAATTTTCATTCATTTAAAAGAAAAACTGTCACTTGTTGTTATAGAAACTCTTTTTTTTTTTTTTTCTCTATTAACTTTTAGTTTTTTTTTTTTGTTTCATTAAAATTTTTAACACTAATTTATTATAATTAATTAAGAAAGTTTTTTATTAAAAAGTTTTTTTTTTTTTTTATAAAAGGTTTTTAGGTAAAACAATAAAAATTTTTTTTTAACATATAAAAATTCGGAGGGGGGGGGTTTGTTGAATGTTTTAGGAAAAGGTTAATTATAAAAAATATATTCGTGTTATTATTATTATTATTAATACGGAAAACCTTTTTGATTTCGTATCGTGATATAAAAGGATCAATTAATATAAAAACTTTGAGGTTATACCAAAAAAAAAAAAAAAAAAAAAAAAGTTGAAATTTAACAAAACTTTAACGATTTTAAACATCTGTCTAGTATATTTTTAAAATGGCGGCCTATTAAAACCGTTAAATTTTTTTTTTTTTTTATTTAATTTGTTATATTTGGAAAAATTTTATGTTTCGATTACGTTCCTTTAACTTTATTATTATTATTATTATTAAAACAATTTAAAATTTTTCTCGAATTGTATTTAAAAAAAAAAAAAATTTCGATTGTTGACCTTTTACGACCTTTTTTATTTAAAAAAAAAATTTTTTTGTTTGTTTCCTGTTTGTTTTCTATTTTTTAATCAAAAATGTTTCTGACCAATGACAGTTTTCGAAAAAAATTTTCTTTTTTTTTCACACCGATAAACGATTTTTTTTTAAAATAATAAATTCAAATAACCTTTCGATAAATGATAATAATAATAATAATAATAATAATAATAATAATAATAATAATTTTTTTTCTTTTTTAAAAGCCGATTATTGAATACGACGCGTTCTCGTATTTAAGGTCATCACAGGTGTTAAATCATTCAAATTACTATTATTATTATTATTATTATTATTATTTTAATCGATTTATTTATGTACATATGTGTGTATGTGGGCGAATTATTATTTATGTAAAAATTTTTTAATAAACTTTCATCCCTTAAATAAATAATTTTTTCCCCTATGGAAAATGTAAAAAATAAAAAAAATACACCAAAGAATAAATAAAAAAAAATAAACTTAAATGCATGCGTTAAAGGTTTCGGGATAATTATTATTATTATTATTATCATCATCATTATCATTAACAATAAAACGTTATGTATTATATTATTTAAATAAAAATAATTTGAATGATAATTAATGTAAGGGTTTAATAGTAAAAATTTTATTTAATTATTATCAACTTCGCATCCTTTTTTTCTTTTTATTTTGGGTGTGGGTGTGTGAGGGCGTGAGGACGAGGTCGTGTTTCCGCCACTGTTTAAAATATGTGTGCGTGTATAATAAAATTAGAAAGAGATAGATAATCATCATTCATTTTATGTAGGAAAACCCTTAACACAAACACACACACACACACATTGGAATTGTTAATTGTTTTACAACAGAAACGACAACAACACCAACAACAACAAAATTTTTTTTTTTGTTTTTTCTTAACTCGTAAAACAATTAATAATAATAATAATAATAATAATAATAATAATAATAATAATTTTCATTTAAATTTTATAATTTTTATAATTTACGTTGTAAATTTATTTAAACTCAACAACAAAAATTGTTTTTTTCTTTCTGTTTGACATAAAATGTCAAATGTGTGGTTAATTGTTATATAAAAAACTAACGTGTTAATGCATAATATATAATTATTATTATTATTATTATTATAAAAATAACGTGTTAATGCATAAAATTACCCGTTGTATTGTATATAAATGCGATTTTTAAAAAAATTACGTTCTTCTTTTTCTTTTTAATAATAATCTACACCGTACGTAAGTATTATTTGATCGAATTATTATTATTATTACTATTACTGTATTATTAATTAATAATTAATTTATTCTAGAGTGGAAAAATATATATATAAATAAATAAATGCAAACATTTTTATTTAGATTAATTTATATAATTGAAAAAGGTAAATAATAAATTCTTCTTTTTCTTTTAATCTAATAAAAAATTCTTTTTTATTGATTTATTATTAAATTAAATAATTAAAATTTATTTTCTGATTTACAGATTAAAGAAAAAGGAAAAAGAAAAAGGAAAAAAGAAAAAAGAAAAAGGAAAAGGAAAAGGAAAAAGAAAAATAACTGAAAAGTTATTTTCGTTTTTTTAGAAAAGTCTTTTTAAAACGTATAAGATTTTATTCGTTTATAAAATGGATAAGGTAAGCATGTAAAAAGAAAAAAAATAGAAAAATTTTTTTTTTATAAAAAAAAGGCGCGAAAATTTAAATAAACCAAAAAAAATTATTTAAATTAGGACCGAACGGAGGCTAACGAGTTTTTTTTTTTTTTTTTTAATAATTTTATTGTTACGAATCGTTTATCATTATTATCATTATCATTATCATTATTATTATTATTATTATTATTATTATTATTATTAAACAGTTTGCCTTAGGGTAGTTTTTTTTTCCTTGTGGAAATATTTTTCGAGGAAGTTTTACGACATAACGGGAAATGACATACATACATTATGGCCAAAATGTGGTTTTCCGTAGAATAAAAAAATTCAAGGTGATCTAATTTATTATTATTAATAATAATAATAATATAAATAATAATAATAAAATCAAACAATACTGGATTTTATCCAGCCGTATCCAGGATTTTAGCCAGGGGGGGAAAAAAACAATTAAAAGCCGAAAAAAAAAAAAAATTTTTTTTCCCTATTTTTTTCTGTCATTCCCTCAACGATTAAAATAAAAATGATAACGAAATCATATTTTCGTTTGTTACAAACAAACAACAAACAACAAACAATGGATTTTAAACGATTGTATGAGTAAATGTATAACATTTTTATAAAAAAAAAAAAAAAAGAAAGAAAAAATCAAAAAGTCACACACACACACGAAACTTGTTTTTTTCATTTCACGTTTCACTTTTTTTCCTTTCATTTATTTTTACTCTTCATCATCATTATTATTATCAATTTCCGCTATCAATTAATTAATAATAATAATAATAATCAATTTAAATAGTTTTAACTCACGTTAATAATTTTATTCTTGTTATTTTTTCGTATCGATTAATAATTAAAAAATAAAAACAAAATAATTTATTATAATAATTATTATTATTTATTACCGTAAATTTTTTTTCTCGGAATAAAATAAAAATTTGCATTATTATTATTATTATTATTTATTTATTGATTAAATAAATAATGTTAATAAATGTCATTGTCACATAATAATTAAATAAATCAATTAAAAAAAAGAAAAGTACAATAAGATAAGATAGGAAGTAAATTAAAACGTATATAAAAGGAGGTATAAATTTATTAACCGTAATAAAATAATAATTATAATTATTATTATTATTATTTAATACGATAAGAAGATAATAATAATAATAATAATAATAATCAAAGTATTGAGTTTTACAAACAGGCAGACGAGAGACAGGCGAAAGAGAGAAAGAGAAAGAGTTTAAAGGGG